GACACCATAAGATTTTTTCAACGATCTCTTTACCCATGGTATGTATATCTATGAAATGAATCTGTACATCTAGATTTTTTTCTTTCTTTTTTTTTCTTTTTGAAAGCATAAACTTGTTCATAATAAGGGAAAATTAGGAAGTGTAACTAAGTATCAATAATAGGCTAATTAGCAGACAGGTTTATGGTTAAATAACCATTAACGTTAATTTTTACTCATATATGTTTTATAGAAGGAATAAATAACATTACACGATGTACAGGACGGCTGCCATTCAGGCATAAGAGGGAGTTGTCTTGTAGGAAGGCTGTTCAGCGTGGTACTGGGCCTCATCCTCGTAGCTGACCTCGGCCACGAAGCCGGAGTCGCCGTTGACGGAGTAGGTGACCTTCTGTAGACGGCCATCGGGAAGGAGGACGTAATAGGAACCCTGGGCACCATAACCATCGCGATCCTCCTGGTGACCTAAGTCGTTACTGGAGTAGTCGTCCTTGACAGCGTAGTTGAAGTCGTACTTGCCGGGTGAGGAGCCATGGGAAGGGGAAGAGTAATCATAGCCGGGAGTGTCCTCAGGTCTGGCGAGGGCCATTGTCAAGAACGCGAAAGCAAAAATAAACTGAAACATATACAATATATTGTGTTTAATATGCCAGTATACGCATGACTTTACACACAAACACATATGCATATGTATATATGTATATATATATATTGTAATCATAGCCAGGAGTGTCCTCAGGGTGGGCGAGGGCCACAACGAAGGCGAAACCTAAGATAAACTGGGATTTATCAAATGTTAGAAAAATTATTTCATATGTATGTATATATATATACATATATCACGCACACACACATATATATCAATTTATATATATACATGAATATATATACATATTTATGAATATATTATATATATATAATACCTTAAGAGACATGTTGAGAAAGGAATAGGAGGGATGCAGCCCGGGCGAGTAACCTTGCTATATATACTGTAAAAGTGTTAACTGAAGGACGCGCTTGAATGTAGTCAATGTCATGTCACTCAGTCTCACTCTGTTCATTTCACTTTCTTATCGAAACTGAAGATCTTTCCAAAAATAAATAAATAAATAATAATAATTATTATTATTATTGATGGATGTGTGTATATATATATTCATATATATGCATGCACAATGTATAGAGAGAAAAAATATATACATATATATACACATAAATTCATATAAATAGATAGCCCCATGGCACTCAAATATCTTGTTATGCTGTACATACAAACAAATATATAGATAGATAAACAGATATTGATGAATTCATATCCACTTATATCCATGGATTTAAACATACACAAACACAAACACATAAAATGAATATAAGGTAAACAAACAGATAGATTGGAAGAGTGCCACTATAGAAAATAAATAGATGTCTGTACTCTGTGTATGTATGTTCATATGTATATATTAACACACACACGCATATATATGTATATATATACACATGCCCATGTGTGTGTATGTATATATATACATACATGCCCATGTGTGTGTATGCAAATATATACACATACACATTTAAACATATCTCCTTATATATATGTATATACAAACATATAGACACATATATATACGTAAATATATATATGTATGTATATATATATATATACATATATTCATGTATTTAAACACAAACACATACAGATTTATATATATTATATACATGTGTGTGTATGTGTGAGTGTACAGATACATCCATACATGTACATTATCATTCTTTATATTGTTTATACAAAAAAAAAATCCTCTTTTAAGCCAGCTATACACACTGTAGTTAGTATTAACTTCAGTTTTCATTTAAATGTTAAATTATGTCTGCTAACTATGGCCTATATACAGTAATTTCGTAATCCATAATAAAAGAGCTATAATACTGTAATCCATAAAAAAAAAAAAAAAAAAAAAAATAGAGCTTCGTGGAGAGTAAGATGAAAAAAGAGTGAGACTGGCAGTGACTACAATTAAGTGCGTCCTTCAGTCTTGAGTTAACGAGAATTATGCAGTATATATAGGAAGCTAGCCCGCTCGTTTCCATCACTCCTACTTCTTCAACATGTCTACCAAGGTAGTATATATATATTTATATGTGTGTGTGTATACGTATGTGCACACACACATATGTATATATATAAATATATACATATGCATATGTGTTTGTGTGTAAAATCATGTGTATACTGGTATATTAAACACAATCTATTGTATATGTTACAGTTTATTTTTGCTTTCGCGTTCTTGACCATGGCCCTTGCCCGCCCTGAGGACACCCCCGGCTATGATTACTCTTCCCCTTCCCATGGCTCCTCGCCCGGCAAGTACGACTTCAACTACGCTGTCAAGGATGACTACTCCAGTAACAACTTCGGTCACCAGGAGGATCGCGATGGTTATGGTGCCCAGGGTTCCTACTATGTCCTCCTTCCCGACGGCCGTCTGCAGAAAGTCAC